AAAATAATTTTGTATCACATGTGATACATTGGACAGGGAACCTGTTAAAATTGTAATTTCTAGGAATTTCAAAAAAGAAATCGTGAGATGCAACAAGATATAATATAGGCTGTTAAGAGTGATGAGGGAGGGATTTGATTGTCATTTAAGCGGCGTACTACTGAACCGGGATTTACTGTACATTTGAATCAGAGGAATATTTTCTCTGTAACATTTCTTGAATTTAAAATCGACAAATAAACTATGTTGTCAATTCTATTCTATATACATATATATTTGCGGGGTTGTTACTTTTCCCCTCCATAAAATTTCAGAAATATATTCAATTTATCAATTTTAGCTTCTGAAATCGTGGAGATGCGTCTGCTCTTATGAATGAATCGAATATGCTTTTTGAAAGTACGTTTGCGTTCATGAATGAAAATTTTGTTGTGGTGTTATTTACTATAAAGTTTGACGTCGAGCATATTGATTCTGATATTATTAAAGACGATTGTTGTTTTTGGGTATTAGTATATAGATATATTGTGTATGCATTTTTTGTCTGGGAATGTCTTGTTCACATATTTATGATGATGATGATGTTTGAGAAGATTGTTGTTTTTCCAGAAGAATGTTTGTATCTTTTTATTTACATGCGTACGCATATATTATTTGTGTGAGAATGTCATACATATGTGTGTACGTACACATAGAGAAGCGCGCGCTTTTTATATTACTGACAAATGAGAACATCTTGATTCGTCACGTCAATGGTTGTGTGTTTGAGTTATTGTCCGTTAGATTTAACAGCTTCTAACAATTAGATTTTTAACTTATCCCTTATGCTTAGAATCCGGGGGCAATGGAAGAACACGTGCTCAGAGTCTTCTATTGACTCCGTACACATCGAACAATACTGACGTCGTCTTCTTTCTTTCCTCTCTCTTTTAGATTTCTGTAATTGGATCTGATAGCTCATATAATCTCGTGATCTCGTTTTGTGTTCAGCCAGTTCCAAACTCTTGGAAGAAAACCATTGGCGTGGACCATTTATGCATTCATTACATTTATTTTGTAGGTCTTCAAGGACCACTATAAGGTCGTCCGCGTATGCGTCGTCCGCGTATGCGATTAGCTTAACGTTTTTTGGGTGTGGAATTCTTAGCATCTCATCATAAACTAAATTCCATAAGAGAGGGCCTAAAACAGATCTTTGTGGTACTCCGCTTGTAATAGGGTAGCTCTTGATGCCTTCGGTGGTGTCGTAGATCAGCCTTCTATTTTTAAAATAACTCATAACGAAATTTATAAGGTATTGAGGGGCGCGTATTCCATATAGGGCTTCGAATATATTTTTCCATTTAGCAGAGTTGAACGCATTCTTCACATCCAGGGTGATCACTGATCAGCGCACAGTATTTTTTTGTACCACCTTTACATCTTTTGCCACTTACTGCTCTTTTAGCAGTGTTGACAACTTCTTTCAGTGCATCGATAGTAAACCTCTGTTTTCTGAAGCCGTATTGTCTTTCTGATAGTCCGCCGGTCTCCTGGATTGTAATTTCCAAGCTGGCGTACACTTTTCCCATTGTGTCAAGCATACACAGAGGTCGATACGAAGAAGGTTCATCTGGTGGTTTTTTTGGTTTTGGGATTAAAACCAAGCGCTGGACTTTCCAGGAATCGGGGAACATCCCTTCTTTTATACATGCGTTGAACATTTTTGCGGAAAGAGTGGGCTTTGAGATTATGGCTACCTTTAGAGCTCTGTTTGGTATGCCATCGATACCAGGCGCTTTGTTGTTTTTGATTCTTTTAGCTATGACCAATAGTTCTTCTTCCGTAACCAGTGGGGGTGATGCAGCAACTTCGTTTCGTTGCACATCGCTAGTAATCGAGGCGTGCGTCGGAAATAATGCCTCGACGACTTTCTTCATAAACGGAGCACATTGGATTGCTGCCGCTTATTTTGGAATTTCGCTTCTTTACAAATCTTTTTAAAACAGTTTCTCTTGCTATGGATTATAGCTGACTTTAGAAGTTTCTTATGGTTTTTAAAGGCTTCTTTGAGACGGTTTCCGTTCTTGCCACTTTGATTGCGACGTCGGGCTGAGTAACAGAGCTTTCTGAGCGTGGCAATTTCTTCATTCTACCAGTATACAGGTCTTCGCTTATTGTGACATTTTGTCCTTCGCATTGTAGCGTCGCATGCTTCTACCAGTTCCTTTTGAAATGCGGTTACTAAGTGGACGCCGCCTTCGCCTGGTGCTATTGCTGTACTCCAGACTATCTCAAAAATGTCAATGTCAAAATCTGTTTGTTTCCAGCTTCGTTTATGTGTAGTGTTACTGCATGGGGGTTCCTGGTCTCGAGAGAATAAAACTTCTGCGATGATTGCCATATGGTCACTATTTGTGAACATGTCTGACACGTTCCACTTAATGTAACTGCTTAGTTCGTCACTTGCAAACATCAGGCCTATTGCAAAGCCTTTATTTCCTTTTTGGTAAGTATTTCTTGTGCCACTATTCGTTATTGTGAGGTTGGTTTGGCTCAGGAATTCTAAAACTAGGCGCCCACGGTGGTTTGAACTCCTGCTTGCGTAGGTAGTAAACCATGCGTTAAAATCGCCTGCCATTATTATCGGCGATTTTCCTCTGCTTTCTAAGGATAATTCCAGGAGGAATTCTTCAAATTCTCTAAGGGGCGCACTGGGACGAGCATAGCAGCTTACGCAATAAATTCCCCCTCTTTGCGCCCATGTAAAGCCATTTTTTGCTTCTCCGCAGCAAGATGTGAATGTTTGTCCATTGCAGGACCATATTGTTGCTTTGCCACTTCTGTCAGTAATCCAATGCTTTCCGAATGTTGGGAGTAGTGCTCACTCAGTAAGGCGACATCAATGTTGCTTTCTAGTACGGTTTGTTGCAGTGGTTTAGGTTCAGCTGCAATATTCTCATTTCTCCATTGTCTTTAGCAAGTTCACGTATTTGGGGCAATTCGTGCTTAGAACCGAATGTTCTCCTTTACAGAGCATGCAACTCGGTGTGTTAGTGCATACTTTTGCAACATGTGCAGCGTTTCCACAACGTGTGCAAAGAGAGGACCTGTCGATCAGACTACAACATTTACGCGCCATGTGGCCTGGATGGAAGCATCTGTAACAGCGGGAAACAGGGCAGTACTCCCGAAGGCGGCAGACAATATATGTATACATATGTATGTATGTACATCTTCTATCATGTTAATCTTATGTATATGCACAAGCTCAT